AAAAATATTGCATAGAAATCAAAAATATTTTGCTGATCTCAATGCAAAACATTATGTATAGAATGCAAAAGTCTTGAACCAGCCCTCATTTCTTTATATTTTGCTTCCAAAGGGCCACACGTTCTTGTAATCTTTGTGGTCTTGAGCCAATGGTTCTTCCGGCTTTCTGAAGGTCTTTCAAAGTCTTTCTCTGGACTTTGGCTGCTTTTCCCCTCATTTTCAATCCAGTCCTTGTATCTGAAGTCACTCAATACTTATCTATCAATCATTCAAGCACCTTAAAAAGGCACCCAACTCGAGGGACGGGCCGGTGTTTGGTCTACACATAACAGACAATTTAGCAAAGCCGATTAAATTCTTTAGCTGAATGTGTAAAAAACTGCTAAAGATGACACTATTTCACTGTGTGGAGTGTGTTCTTGAAAATAATTGAGGAAACTGATAAGTAGAGGACAAAAGAAGAAGGGGTAAGTCTAAAACACTACCTAGAGTAGATGAGCAGTATCTGAAAGTCACGTCCTTAAGAAAATGGGGCAGGGGAGAGATCCAGCAAAGACCTGACACAGGACCTGATAGATGCATCCTGGCCCTTCATCCATCTACTGTTCACTGAAGCCTCATCAGAAATAGTCTCAGTGGAAGGGTGGCTGTCAAGAAGCCATTCTTAAGGAAGGAAAATGGGGGGGAAAGGCTGAGGTATGCCAAATTATACAAGAACTGGACTGACAATCTTATGGAGGAGGTCAGGAGAGGCCGAACAGTGTCTGTGTGTAAAATACACTGGAGCCTCGTCACAGTTTGGAGCTGCATTTTAACCAGTAGTGTTGGCGATTGCAGTACCATCTAGAAGAGGGGTTGGAAACTCCAAGCCTCAAGGGCCGGTGTCCTGCAGGTTTTAGATGCCACCCTGGGTCAGCACACCTGAATCAAATGATTAGTTCATTACCAGGCCTCTGGAGAACTTCCAAGACATGCTGAGGAGGTAATTTAGCCATTTAAATCAGCTGTGTTGGCTCAAGGACACATCTAAAACCTGTAGATCCTGAGTTCCCCCACCCCTGATCAAGAAAGCCTCTGATTCAGCATGTCACTGATGCCAAACACCAGTCATGGATTGGCCTCCCCAAACCCCGGACCTCAACATTACTGAAGCTGTGCGGATCATCTTGACTGAGAAAAGAACCAAAGGCAGCCAACATCCAAGAAAAAGCTCTGAAGGTCCTTCAAGAAGCCTGGAAAACTATTCCTGAAGACTATTCAAAGAAATTAGGTGATCATGCCAAATATTGCTACAATTGTACCAACTCTATGTTTGCCTTCAATACTACATTTCAATTTGTGATTGTACACATTTCATTTAATTAGTGACTGCTGCCCATTTCCTAGCAAAATATAAAGAAACGAGTGGTGGCTTGAGACTTTTGCACCATATTGTAACTAATAAAGACATTTTGTTTATGTACTATAATTAGATAATCCACAGATTTTAAAATTTGGTAAGAAAAACTTACAGAATTCAGAGATATTCTGCTGATCTCAGTGCAGGACACTAACTGCAAATGTGTCATAAGTAACAGAACTGTTTCTTCTCAGATTAGTTATTGACACAATCAACCTGTATCAAAGTGTTTTGAAATATAAATAGCTAAAATGTCTTACCACCTTCTGTATCACCCTTTGTGGCTCTAACATGAGCAAAAGTGCTGCAGGAAATGTCCTTGCGACAAAGCAAAATTGTCAGTAACGATGTGTTGATCAGAGCGCTGCTTGTACTCATAAAAGCTAATATGATTCTGGGACTTGTGGGAGTTTTACACTCCCAGTGTTAAATAAATACTGATGACTTTTTTGTGTCCCGTTAAATATTTATGGGGCTGAAGAGCCTCAAGGAATGCAATAAAGACTCTAACATGCCAACCTGTAAAGTGAGAAGAATTTTGTTATTTATGTGAACTGATAATCACTGGAAACTCAAACTATACACATCAAATACACATGCATGGCACATGTATATACAGCTGTGGCTAGGCTACAAAATTGTGGTGAATTTCATGCTGTTAATATGCAAAATCCTTAAAGAAACAAAAGATTTTTTTTAGTTTTATTGATAGGCCTCTAATAAATTAGTGTGGCGAAAACACCACATTGCCTGTATAATAGCACACATCAATACATATTTTTATGAAAATGGTTTTTTGTTCTGAAAACTAAACTGCCACCGAGTTATATTTGCACGGACATCTTGACTTAAAATAGAGAAAAGAACACACGATCCCCTCGGTACAAATTCAAAGCATGAAAATCACCACAACTTGGAGTTCGAGTTTCCTCACAGTAGCCCAATAAAACTAGCAGCCATCCCTGACACAAGATACCCTCGCAAAATCTCCCCATCGCACCCCTCCGCCCGCCCAAGCCCAAACCGCAGACACTTACCAGCAGTTAGTGGGGCAGACACACCCTGAGCTCGTCTCTTCTCAGGTCAAAATGAAGGTGAGTCACACAGACAGACAGGGAGGGAAGGTGATGTGAGAGAGGAGGGGGGAGCCATGCTGGAGACTCAGAAGGGTTACACAATGAGATGTGATGGATGTTAGTGGGTGTTAATGAAAAAGACAACACCTGACATCGTGACAGTCCTCCCCATACATGAACGCCTCCTGCGTTCCTGTTATCGGGCTGTGGTAGGTATGTGCACTCAGACACAGACAGCTGAGATAAATTTAAATTTTATGGTAGCAAATAGTTCATGACTGCATACAACGGCGTGGTTCAGATATGCACATACACATTTTTACTGCTAAACTGTGAGAATTTCTTAGCCCAAAAGAGGTTGACTATATTGAAACAAATGCCTTCATATTACTTGTTGCCCCGGCATGCCTACAAAGAAAAGTATCAACATCTGTTCCCTAGTAGCGATACTTACAGGCAGGGGGAAGAAATAACCCTGACATTAGGGCCTTGCAATTCCTCTCCATTTTTTCTTGGAGAGATATATGTCCTAAGCTGCTGCAGTTCAAACAGGGATAATGGCACGCATTATGATACACCGTCTCCTTAAAAGCACTCACCAAAAGAGACGTAGCAGTTGCAAACTTGTGATAGAAGCTCAAATCTTGCATATTTTTGCATGTCAGCCCATGCTAATTTGCCTAGGAAAGTGCACACACCTGATTAGCGGATATTTCCTCCACTAATTCAGAAGTTGGAAAGGTTGTACCTTTTTAGCCATTCACAATCCGATAAACGCTTCATTTGGAGTATAATTAGCTTTTAACCTTAATCCCCTTTATTGCAACTACAAGCCTAATTCATACCCTTAACCTGATCGTAACCATAACCCAAACATTGTTAAAATATGCAAGGGCAGTGCAGATCATACTGGACCTCACAAAGGCATACACACAAGAATGCATACACACTCTCAGAAACCTCAAGTTTCACCTCGAGGTTCAGCCCACACTTGTACCACAACCCCTCTTCCTGCAATGCTCATTAGCTGTGTGGGTGCAATAACTGTGTGCAGATTAGTTGCAACACAAAGCCAATCTAATTACTTTTATGGCTGTGCAACGTATTGAGAGCCTGGTGGGAGCCGTGTGGACATCAGTTGGTGGGAAGGCCATAAAACGATTAAGAGTGCTAACGAGGCTCGCCTTTATACCAAATGAAGCCGGGGCAATCATCTCTGGCACCGAGTGGCGCTGGATTGTGGTTCGGCTGACAATAAAGGAGGAGTGAGTGCCTATAAAGCCCGTATTCCACATGTGAATTTAAAATGCTCGTAGGAGAAGTTCAGGCTTAACATTTTTTTCTCCCCCACTTGAGAAAAAAGAAAAATCCCTTCAGGGAGTGCTGAATATTCTTGGGAATGTTTTCTCATTCCCAAACACAGTGATTGCAGAGGGGAGTGGAAAATGCCCCGAAGGAGGCCAGATAATAGCAGCATTAAAATGTTACAGTAAAATACAAAAGGCAATATCGTACCATTTCTAAACCCCCAACATCAACTGAATGAACTCCTCAGTTCCCGTAGTGGTATAAATGAGTGCAATAAAGCTCGGCGCGGTGCTGCCGAGAGGGTGAGCATCAGTCATCGTTGATGGAATTAGACCGTTCTACCCACAATCCTCTCCTGCTCCCCAAACTATGGCGAAAAAGGAGGAGAGGGGACCCATCACAAAGAACGGATATATTGACCCAACGCATGTGGCTACATATGGATGGCTAAGAAACAAGTGTTTATTTAGCCATCCATATTTAGAAAATGTATAATTGGGTGGATGAGACACTGCGGTCAATAACTCCCAGTTTAAAGAAGAGAGATAACTGGAACTCATGATCATTCAAACACCAACTAATCTCTCTGTTTCGCATTAATTTGTAGATTATTGTTTCATGAAATAACCAAAAGTATAGTCTTCTTTTTTAGGATGCGGATAGTACAGCACAAATTTGAAATTTGCAATGGTTAAAAACCAGATTCTCACGATTTATATTTGGCAAGTTTGCTTGAAATTTTTAAAACACTGAGCCAAGTTTTTGTCCATTAAGTCAATAAATCTACTCTATTAGTTATTCCAGCACCAAAAACCACTGCTGCCCCTATAAATCTACATATGGTGAACAAAGGCAACTATTTTCATTTGCATCATACAGCATTACAATTTTCTACTACAAAAAAAAGAAAAAAAGAGCAGTAGCAAATGGCACCATCTCACTGTTCTGGCAAAGACTAAGTGGGGCAGATGTAGGTGAATTTAGAAAAAGGACGGTGGCTCCTTGAGGTTTGCAGCACATCACTCGGATGAAGCAAGAAAACGTAATAAATGCACGGCAGAGGTAATTGAATTTCAAAGAAACGCTCTGCTGTTTTCCATATGGCCCACAAGTATGGCCAGAGCATGAGTCTAACAACATGCAATTACTATAGAAAGCCTGAGAGTGGGCTGCAGTCTGACAAAGTAAAAGGGATTTAACAGGCTGTGGAACTGAAAAGGATTGCTGGGAGAAATCTGTGCTTGTCAGGTTTATTTCCAGACTAATTAAGCTTTAATAATAATACACTTGACACAAAGATTTTTTTCATGTACCAATTTATCGGGTAAAAAAAGAACAAAACATTGTAGCTGATGGAGTATCTAATTTTTATGGGTAACTAACACTACTTTCCATGATTTCGATGGCAATAGAAAGTACATTGCAACTAATATAAGAAAAAACGCTGCAACGGCTCTTTAAACGAGAGCACGCTCAGTAGCTTTTCAGACAAAAGGAGAGATGACCTACGCTCTTCTTTCCCACACGCTGCTGCTTTTCCTGTACAAAGCTGGTTGGAATGTGCACCAGTCCATCTACCCCATTTACACGCAGGACACTGGTTAATACTGCCAAATGCAAAACACTGCTGCACACATTTGTTGGGCTTATTAGTTAGAAAAGAAAGAGCCAGAACACAGAGGATATGGTTCATGAGCTCTCACTTTATCAATTCATTTCAATTATAAGTCACAAGGGTAAAATTTTCCCATTGCACATCAAACGACTGAGCAAAGTTACAGTGGGAATTTCTAGTTTATACACCAACAATTAAAAAACAAAAAAGTTCATACAGAAATATACAAAAACATTTGTGCGAAAACACCTTGTAGAGGGAAAAACGCTAACAAGGGCGCTCAATGTTATTCCTTATGGACAACACACTGTCTGGTATGGGACAACCCACATTTGTGCTACCTACCACCATAACACACTATTTAAAATTATATGTATTGTGTTATATATCTTAGAATAAGTTGGGAGGGACTGTGTGTTAAAACAAAACAAAATGTGTGTTGTCCCGCACTCAGCGCAAGTATGTGAAGACATCTCAATTATAACACACACTCTACCAATTACAAAAAAAGGAATAAAAAAGATGTATAAGGTTTAAAATCTGCTACAGCTGGTTGTTCATTTAACCAGAGTTTTCTACCACAGTTCATGTAAAACCAAGTACACTTGAGGTGCAGTGCCAGGAAGCAAGAAGGACTCAAATAAATACTAAAAATATGACAAGAGATTGCATCAGCTCAAAAAAACTTTGAAGGCATTCAGATTTTGTTCGCTTATAATTACCCCTTGTTGCTTCAGAATGCACTCGTTATCCTTCTCCTCAGCTAATGCAACTTTGATTTAAAGCAATGTCCGTTAAAAAGCACATAGCTCTCACTTGAAAACTGTAAGAAGGCACGGGTCGAAAAACAGGTGACCCCCTATACAGAGAAACAAAATGGAAATGACCCAAATCCATGAGGTGGTGGGCGGGTCCATGTGGATGACTGACACACAGAAAATGAAGACGATGGATCAGTACAGCAGGTCGTGACAGGTAGGTGGGGTTAGTGATGGTTGTGTCAGGAGGTGTGAGGACTCCTGCATGCAGACGGTGTTAGCGTTAGCACAATTAGCCATGAAGGCTAATGGAGGTTAATGGTAATCCTCAAGTGTAGAGGACCATCAGTCTTGTTCATGGCTGCTAGTAGTGGGGTTAGTGACGGTAAGCACCATTAGCCACAGGTGCAAACACTGTTAGCATTCTCCTCGGGCTAGCACTTGAGTCTCGGCCTGGTAGATAGCGGTCGTTTCTGGACAGTCTTACAGTTTAGCCGTCTTCAGCGGATTTTAGTTACAGGCCCCAGTGATTTTAGACACTCACCCAGGGCTGCTCGAAGCTGTAGGTCCTCCTGCGATCATCTGGGTCGTCCGGGACATTCTGGGCCTGCTGAAACTCTTGCCTCAGCCTCTGTATCCGGTCGTGGTTGCTGGGGGTTAGTCGGTTACTAGGGAGAGAGCAGGGAGAAAAAAAAGAGAGAGGGTGGAGGGAGATGGATGAGTGTGAAAGGTCCATTGTTAACAAGTGACCTGATTCCATCAGCAGGCAGAAATGGCCTGCAGGATGATGTTCTTTAAAGTCCAGCGTGTTTTGTCCATGAATTGATCAAATGCACTGTTGACACTGGCAAAGCACCCGGATTTACTCAACCCAGATAAAATGTAAAAAATGTGATAAAGTGAGGCCGGAGCCAAGAGCGAGCTTACAGCTGAGCCAACAGCAATATGAATCAAACTAATGTGCTTCTGATGTATTATTCAGAACAATGAACAAAGACTAGTGGTGAACGGTGAGTAGTACTCCAACATCCCCACGCCCCCACCCCATCCTTCCCATCGCAGCCTTATATCATTCATCCACTGCGCTGCTATTGTCTTTCGCAGCCCTGTTTACATCCGACAACGCTGCTGTCAGTGCAACTTCCTCATGGTACAACGAGTAAATACACTCACACTGGTCATTCATAATAACTCTACAACTGCAACTATATTAGGAATTACAGAGTCTGAAATGCTATAACACCATGAAGTGTGTAGGATGACGTTTATTAGGAAACAAAAATATTGTTTTGATTTACTTTTACGCTGAAAATCATTTTATACATTATATGTAAAAACTCAAATGTGAACAAACAAAACAAATATGTATATTTAAAAAAATGTTTATTTATTGTCATGTGTTGTATTTATTTCTTGTTCGTTCCTACTATAACAACATTTTATTTTGTATAGTACTTTATTCTACTGTATATAGCATTTTATTCTTGTTGTACAGTATGTTATTCTATTTTATCTTATCCTATTCTATTGTGTTTTCTTAACTTTTACTACTCTTAAACTTGTACTTTCTGCCGTGACCAAAAAATTTCCCAAGTGTGGGACTAATAAAGGTTTATCTGACCTAATTTCTCCTCATAAGTTTTTTTTATATATAAATGGTGTGAAATTTAGATTTTGAAAGTTAGTCCCTTTCACCAACGGTTTGGACCATGCGTCATAAATCAGTCCTAAAATTTAGCTATTTTATTTCCACTGACTTTTCTGCATTTCACCATAAAGGCTTTTGCGTCCTCATGAACACAGAACGGAGAGAAATCTATAGACCTAAATAGAAACGAAGCGACGGGGTAGTGTTAAATTCACATGGCCTCCTACAGAGGAAAGTAATTAACACATTTTCCCTCTCACACAGTGTGAATGAATAGAAGTGTTGGGCTCTAAATGAAGGAGCAGCGGGTGACTGTGACTCTGAGCTTGACTTTTCAACTTTCCAACTTTTGCCAGGAAATTCCTGTGGACTTTGTTATCTCTCAAACTCAAAAGGTCCAGCCTGCAACCTTTTCAGCTTTTTCAAATCTTCCCCTGACTGAAGACCGGGAGCGTTAGGGTCAGCATAAAAAATTCCAAACTGCAACTGGTAAGGGTTATGATTAAACTAAAGTTAAAAAAAACATAAAATGCACACTGTGCATATGCAAAAAAGAAAGAAGAAGAAATCCCAGAGCAGCTGCACATTTAGAATAGACTTAGAATAGCAGTTTGTCTTTATTAGGTCAACGTATGACTCTATGTAGCATAAAATTACTGCCTAATTCATTTCATCCATCACAAACAGCCAGAAAGAGAGCTCTAATGGCATAACCTAAAACACAACAGCACCACCAACTTAGCCAGCTATCAACTCCAGACGCACAATAGAAAAGCCAGAGGCGGTCAGCCTTGTTAAAGACCAGGAACCTGCCATATGCAATCCAGCTAATCTCCATGACATGTAACACAGCTGCTTGGCCTTTCTGTAACTCAGCTGAACTGATGTGTGACCTTTTGACTATGGGTCAAGGATTCAATGCCAGCTTTAGCAGAAAGGCTCATATCTAATGTATGTAAACAGATGCCTGTCCAAAACAAAAGAAAGAAAACTTAAAAAAAAATGTAATGTTTGTCAGATGGAAGCTGTTCAGTCTTGCGAGGCTCAACCTTGTAATAAAAAATCGTATCAGCTGATATTACAGAATCCTGCCCAAGAGACTAAAGAAAACAGGAACTCAAATAAAGGGATCAAAGATCTCCAATCTTTGACAAAACGCTGTAAATCAATCAAAGAAAGAGCAACACAACAATACAACTGTACTGCCAAAACACCCCAGAGACCAGGAAGAACAGCAGGCTGAAATTTAGCTTGAGATGAGCTTCATCATCTGGACAGACTCACTCAATATCTGGCACTACTGTATGAGGCTGAAAGGTCACTGTGAGGCTTTGTGGAGTGGAGTGTCTCTGGGACTCAATAAGAGGACTGTGGCTTGCTGACTGGGCTGCCAGCAAAGCTGTTTACGCTGAGATGCACCCTGCCTTTCATGGTCGGGTGTGCCTCCTGAAAAGCTGTCTGTCTCAGCTTTAAGCCTGGCAAGGAAGGAGCTTTGGGAAGATGTAATGTCTGCACTGTGGGCAGACTTTGACGACGCTACTACAATATACCCTAATGCGGCGTGTTCAAGCAGAGGGATTGATCAAAAAGAAGCTTTGAGAATAAAATCCAAACAGTCAAAGGATTTTTTTTTTTTTAAAATCAAAACTTGTCTTTTTTAAAATCCTTGGCTATAATTTGGGTCAGGAAGTCTATAATCTCTGTGGTAACTTTGACAGATGCTTAAAAAGAAGAAATGTTTGGGGAAAAGGTTTACCGCTGACCCTTAGCAGATATCGATTACGTTGTTTTTAACAGCTTGAAAATACTGACTTTTACTTTTAACTGATCCAGATAATGGAGGCCCCGAGTCCAAACTGTAAGCTTAATGAGCATACGATATTGATTCAATGCATAAATGGTATGACATAAGATTATTCTCTTCAATGTGCTGCGATTAGCTGTTAATTTTGTGTATCACTCTGTTAAGTTTACTGGCAGCAGCAGAGTGACGACTTGGAGTGATGTCATTTCTACTTAGTAAACATTCTTTAGCAAATTACAAAGTGCAGCTTGGAGTGATCATTACCAAAAGACCAGAGTTTGCTGAAGATGCATCAGAATTAACGTAAATTATAGCTCATATAATCTTCTTGGGGTTTTTTTAAAAACAGAAGTAAGCAACCCTGCAGGTTACAAACAAGAATATTGGCACTCGGTAATGCAAAAATACTTCAAAAAAACTAAAGCGAGTCAAAGTATTTCACAGAACTGAAACAGATCTTGATGGGCTCTTTGCATCTGTGACTACTTATTCTTGGTGCCCTTTAATGACATTTAGGCCAGGGCAATATGGTTGAAAATTTTTATCACAATATATATTTGAAAATTTGCGATAATGATATAACTGACGATATAATTGACTCGAGACAAAATACACTACAACTCCACAACTTTATTAGTGCAAAAAAAACCAAAAACCAAAAACAACCCATCAATGTATTTTCACTTAAACAAGCAGCTGTTTTTTTATGTGCATTAAAGCTATAGAAAAATGTAACAGTGCAAATTCCTCGCTGACAGTTTAACCAAAAGGCATTTCCAGTGGAAATTGGCCGACATATCCTCAGCATAACCATGTAGAATATCCACAAAACTTAAAAAGAGGTTATACACACACAATACGGTAATATTATGTTGAAGCACAGCATGTATCACTCCGCGAGGCTTCTGACCACGGTAGCTGTAACGCTCTGACAATCCATCAAGCGGTGTTGCTTCGTAGCTTAGCAAAGTCGTACTAAAACATTTGACAGATTTTCGAGCGCCGTGTACGACATAAAATCATTTCCAGGTCAGCAAACACAACCAGAATTCATACATAAGGCACACGGGATTATAAGCTGCATTGTCGATTTTCAGAAAAATCAAAGGATTGATTTTAAGTGTGCCGTATTTTAAAAAAAAAAAACAACACTGTACCAACGACGGCCCGCTAGCATGCTCTACCAAAAATAGTGCTTTGTTGTGTATCTGACAGACGAAAGCTAAACCAGTTCCACACCAGTGAAGTTGCAGCATTTTTACAAACCAATTCTGGTTCATCTGTTTCATTCAACGATCCGATTTCACCCTTCTCATTCTCCGTTGCCGCCATGCTTTTTCCGCCATGTGCGTATGAAAACAAAGGCACTGCGCATGCGCGTTATACTCATATTCTATCGCGATATTTCATTTTCTTATCATTGCCTAACATTATACCGGCATTACCGTGAATGGTACGATAAGGCCCAGCCCTAGTGACAATGCTGTGGTCTTAGAGCTAAGGAATACAAATTCAAGATTTAGGTCTTTAATAAACACAATTTATTCTTGAAATCTGGCCTGTGTTGCAGGCAGTCTTTTTGATCTCAGAGCCACAATATGTATGAAAAAAGCAGCCAAGACACTCAAAACAAGAACCCAAACTTTATGAGCAAGATTGATTTAAGGCAGGCATACAAAGCCTTTGCTTCATTTGGCAGGGAAGAGGACTTCCAAACTAATAGGATTAGAAGATATGGGCTGTCACCTCAAAATCCCACATGACTCTGGCACTGCTTTCACAGATCCCAATCAAAGCATGCCAACAGAGAAAGGGAAGGTGCAATGTACAGTAAGTGACAGAGGCAGCTGATAGGCAGCGCTTTAATCCTGCAGATTACAAATGAATGGCCTCATTCACAATGTGCGCTCTTCCCATGTCTTTAACATCCTTCAGACCTACCAGCAACTGTATAGGGGCATAAATTTTACAACCATCGCTTAGAGGACTTGGCAACCTTTAGTGGATCGATGTGCTCTCGAGATGAATGCAAAGCGGCGGGTGTCCGCGCAGTTGAGAGCACTAAAAGAGAAACAACTGGAGAGGACCCCACGGCCCGCAAAGACCATCTGAGCATGTACGGCCTGCTGAAGTTCAGAAGCCTACATGGTGGGAAGATTCAAGTGGATCTTGTGTCTGTTTTGTGACGAGGGCCCTTGTGGTGAGTGGTTACAAGT